ATTATTTTAGGATTTCTCACGTTAACTAAAAGACAAAATACTACCCATAGTTTATTATTATTATCATTCTCTTTTTGGTCAGCACACAATGAGTTGCTTTATGCAGATACACAGAAAAAAATCAATTGCGAAGCATAAAGTGCTGTTCACATCAAGGAAACCAACTAATTATGATAAGTTGCTACATAAATTACTTGGTGACTTTCCCAACAATCAATTTCAAACTCTACATAAGTCTCTGACTGGAGCACACAATAAACACCTAGCAACTGTGTCAATAACAGCAGCAAGGCAGATTGCAATGATAATATAAACACAATAATTATCTTTCTGGAAGCAAGTTTTTTATGCAGACTGGTTTCTTTTTATGCCTATGATTTAAAGACAGTATGGCTTTCAGTGTCTGTATTTTTTATTGAAAACCTTCAAAAATAAGGACTTCACATATTAATTTATTATTATGCGTGTAACAGTTTTATAATTTTAATTCCGAAAGTATAGAATAACACTTCAAAACTCTAGGCCTAATCCTTGACAGAACAATACATGTGATTAGTCTCACATGAATTTAAGAATATTTACTTCTAAACTCTGAGCAGGCTGAGGCAAGGCAAACTCCCCGAGGACAGTTTGGGGGTATCGCACATCACATCAGATCTATCCACCCTGCTTCTCCAAAAGTTCCACGTGGCTCTTCAACACCGTTCTGTGTAGGTACTAGGTCTCCTTTGACACATATTGCACCGTAAATACTAGCACACCGACACAGCCCAATGTTTGCACTACATTTGAAGGATACTTCTGCTTTAACTAAGAACTAGTAGCTGCATTTTTGATGCAACACACCAAAATCAGTCAAGGCTGCTTTCCGTATGGTCATTCCAGTCACCTCTGAAACATACCAGGCCAAATGCTTGGAATGGTCACCAAAACCAGCAGGCAGCTCCAAGTCAGCTGGAGCTCACCAGCCTCTGCTGGCTTTGAAAAGGCCTCCCTGACAAAACAAGGCCTCAGCACCTCCCTGCCAGGGAGGAATAGAAACTGAGGGCATCAGGAACCTCACGTTTCCTTTGTTCGGATACACTGTGTAAAATTACTTCCAGAGAGGTAATAAGAAACTTCAAAAATACCCAGCCACTGGATTTCTGGGCCTTGCTTTTGAAAACAGCTTGAGTCTTTCCCTCTTGAATTGCCAGTTTCTGAAAACAACAAAATGGGCCTCCAAGTTAAGACTCCAATGCTACTAATATACATACAAATTTGATTTTAAATCGAAGCTGCTGCTTCTTCCTCTACCCTATGAAACGCTGCTCAGAGTTATCATCACTTGTTTGCAGGGCCAAGATAGCAAGAAAAGTATTTATAAAATGTTACTGGAAATCAAATAGCTTTAGCTATGGAAGCAAATAGGCTTCCAAGTAAACCAGGTAATAGACAACATTATAAAATACAGAAGATATTCAGCACATCTTTTATGAAGAAAAAAAAAATAAGATTTTCATGACATTCATTATTCTACTTCTCTAATTTTGAGTGTTGCCAGCATGGCTATTAAAAACAACAGTAAGCAATTTATATATATATATATATATATATTTTCTTAAAGTCATAAAGGTTTTGACGAGTAGAGAGAAAGATGAAGTCTGTTTTATTTTCTTATCAGCAAATTTGCACTTTAGCATAATACAAGTTATGGAATTTTAATAAAAAAAAGCCTATTTTTATATAGGGGCAGAGTCTTTTATTAATGATTTTTTTTTCCTCAGGGAGGAGAACTGTTAGCACTCTCACAAAGTAATGCACTGATATCTAGAATCATGTGAAATCAAATACATCATACTGGTTAAAAAAAAAAAGCTCAAAGATCTTTACGAATTTGAGGTCGTGGTTTTGGAATCAAAACAAAAATAAAACTAGGATTAAAAAAAAAAACTTGCAAAGAAAGCCTATAGCACCATTAATTACATATCATAAACATGACCAAGTCATATTCCTATCAGTTGCCTAAAACATACAAGAAAGGCCAATACATTTACTGCTAAGAATTACGAACAGTGAGACTGCGTAGATGTTCAACTAGAAAATAGAGTCTAAGCAACATGGTGATTTCTGAGAGTAACTTTCCCAAAATGGGGAAAAAATTCTAAAGCAATGTGCATCCAGTATTTTTTGTTCTCTTTAGGTACACTCCACTCAAAGCATCATAGCACTTGATATAATATTTATATGAATTATTCTTTCAACTCTGAGGCTACACTGAGATGTTACATTTTTGTGGGCTCTGGAAATGAGACAGAATTTGTAAAACTCCTGAAGATAGTATGTACAAAATATGGAGTCAGCCTCAAAAGACCTCGTCTGGAAATAATATACTGAATGCATGAGTTTATAAAGTGGTAAAATGCATAGTGCAACACATGCTGAACTATATGTTTTTGTTCCCCCCACAAAAACCATAGCTAAATAAAGTGAGAAGTCTCCAAGTAGAACTCTACCAAACACATTCAGTTTTCTTCTGCTTCTCCTCCCAATCCCAAAGAACCAATTTACAGCTGCACTAAACCATTTGCCAGAGTTTCCAATTCTGATAAACAAGTTCCTCCAGGGACAAATAAGAGCACTCACAAAGTTACAGCATTTTCCTTTTCCTTTTAGGCTGAAAACTGCTAATATTTACACATACAACAGCTGATCCAATCATTTCACACAACACTGGAAGCATTCAGTGGGAAAAAAAAAAGAAAAAAAAAAGAGAGATCTTCAGAATCTAAAATATTGCGTTTAAGTATTTCATTCTTGGAGATTTTTCTATTGATTCCTATTAATTTTGATGGGCTTGTGAACTTGGAGATTTTTCTTTGTATAGAACAAGTTGATTGAGTGAATAAACCCTGCCAGCAGGTTGTTCCAAACTTTATTCACAACACCTGGAATTGTGGAAAGATTTCTTAATTATTTCCTTGTGAACAAGTACATATTACTTATTGGAGCACATTAACAATATCTCTTTTAGGGCCAATTTTACCCTGTTTTTGGATGACACTCTCTTCCCCATTCACTTTATATATAATTGCTTAATCATCAAGGAAAACTTCCACCTATGTTTAGCATGCAAAGGAAAATACTTTGGGGAAGATTAAAGATAGAAATAATGAAGAAGCGTGAGAACAACTAACAGTAAAACATCAATAATTTGGGAACTATCATCTACCCTTTTCAGAACAGGAGAGCAAGGATTCTCAAATCCTAGTGAAGACAGGGAGACTTAGGATAGTCCAATATCCAGCTCTAAACACACATCCATATGGGCACACGCGCCTAATGGCACATAAAGCCACAGAACTGCGTCCCAAAAAGAGAAGCCAAATCTGTATTTCAGATATGCAGCTTCTGATGCCTACACCTACTGACTTCTTTGTGGTAAAAATCAGATTTCAAAGTCAGCCATGGAGCCATGCTGCTACTTGATTATCACATAAACAATACATCTGAAGATACCTAACAGTTGGCTTTTTCTTTCTTTCTTTTTTTTTTTGGGATGCATTTTTGTAGAACTTAGGCATTTATAACCTACTCTCACTCTTCCTGCTTTTCATAGTAGATCCCTGCTACTTTAATCCAACACCAGAAATCCAATATCAAAGCATATGTGTTTACCTGGAAATTAAAGCCACAATTCATATCTTGGGAATTTAGGCTTGGGGGTTGGAAAGGGAGGGCTGTGCTTGGGGTTATTTGTGTGTGCAGGGAGGATACTAACCTCTGACTAGAGCTGTATGCTCAAATACAAGATTTTGGTTCAGTCCTTTCTCTTTAAAAACTACCAGTTACTGCATCACCTCAACAACAGAATATAACACACCCCAGCATTTCAAGGATATTTGAGTTGCACTACAGCATACCAATTTTCACTGCGACTAGGATGTAGCTTGACACCCATTGGAGTCCTAGCAAAACAACACTGATAAAGCCCGCAGGCAATGAAAATAATTATAATAATAAAAATTCTCTCTCATCCTTTTCCATTTGAGTCACAGAATCCTTACTCAGTTGCATTACCTAGCTGGTTCTTGCAGTAGGTATCAAGTAATAAGCCATCCCACCTTAATCTTCTGCAATGTTATTCTGAATATGCACTAAGATAACTTGGAAACCAACTTACCCCATGTGTTCATAAATATAAATCTGATGTTGACTCACATATCGTATAGAAAACTGGTTTTCACACCAATGATTTACATGGTATCAATTTGGAAAATAGTGGGAATTTCAAAACCCCAAGGAATCGAATATGCAACATGGCAAACAAGACTATTATTGCTATAGTTTCAAACTGAAGACTGCCACAAGCTTTATAAAATGTCTCCCTTTTGGGACAAAGGCCAAAGGGCTTGGATGCTCCCTTCACCACTGCTCCAGTTTTCCACCTGCTTCCTGAACTTTGTGCTCCATAGGTATGCAGAAGGAGTTCAAGAATTTGCCCAAGGTGCTTTTTAAGTTCTAAGGATTTGTGAAAAAGGAAATTGAATACTGATCTCCCTTTAATGTTGAAAAACACAGAAAAATCCTATTTTATTGCAAAGAAAATGTGTTAACATTTCAAAATTATAGTCCTAAATTGTTAAATTGCCAAAAAGCTCTCCCTTTACAAATATTAGAAAGTTTACAGACTCTCTTAGAATTACCAGTGCTGCATGCAATCATCTACTTAGCAATATTTAAGTACTTTAATCTCTTGCATTTTTCTCACACACACACACAAAAACAGTGCACATTATTATCCATAGATTTATTTGCTCTCCCTATAGACTATCCTTAAATCCTGTTTAATATGAGTTAAAATCTGTAGTCTTGACAGGTATGGTTTTCTCATCTAGTGCTTGAAAGGCAGAGTGTTCCCTGTAAAGTGCCAATGCAGCAATAACTAATATAGAAAGAAGTCCTTACAGCAAGGCTTGCCACCTTGCAGCCATTCATAGCAATAAAAGGTGAGTTTATACCTCTGTGATTGGTGAGGTCCCTGGATCCCAAAGGCAGAGGTGTATATTGCATCTCTGGAGAGATGGAGGCATCATCACCGGAGGCCTGTGTGATAAAACAAATATTATCAATAGTCACTCACTAAACAAAAGAAAATGAACCTGTAAGGTTGTATGATGTGTTTACGGATACGCAGAGTCACCAGTCATGGAAGAATATTGGTAACTGAAGGAAAAACAAGTTTTGTTTTTGTTAAGGTTCCCTGTAATCCCTTAAAAGTAGTTTTCTATGTATAAACAATTAACACAGTGATATCATAGTTCAGTCAATTAAAAAAAAAAAATACAGCTCACAGGTTTAAAAATTGCCATATTTACCAGGAAATCTTCGGGCAATGATAATAACATTCCTCTTCTAGGAACAGATTAGTATTTACCTGAAGGAAGGCTATAAGTCAGCATGACAAAAAGAGAATGGAAAAGGGAAAGCTGCAATGTTTGGTAGCTGGGAAAGCTACCATGCTTGCCTTAGAAACTTAAAATCAGATTTTACTATTCCACTGTCCTGCCAGTTAAATGAAGGGCTTTCTCAATAATTATAATGCCTCTAATGTTTTTGTTTTTTAAAATAGAAAAGTATATAGATTTGTTAAGATTAAAGCAATAAAAACTCTCACAAATCATCAATGGCATTTAAGAAGAAAGTAGCAAGAAGTCTTGCTGAGAATCATTAGCAGCAAAATGCTACAATGAAAAAGGAGAAATCTGAACCTTTTCCTGTAGAGAAAAAAAAAATCAAGATCAAGATTTTCAAATAATAGACTTTGGTGCTTATATCCATATTAAACTATACTTCATCCAGTTGAAGGTTTTGTCACAAGGGGAAGCAATATAAAGCCAAGTGTCACTTAAGTGACATTTACCATCTTGCTTTCTGGTTATAGAGTATCACTGTTGCATTGTTTGAAGGAGATACTAAAATAAAGAAACTTTATTTTATGATTTAGGATTTATGAATCATCACCACAGCTTTCCTTTAAGAGTTTATTTTAGATTAGATGGGTTGATATCAGGGTATCGTGAAACATACTCAGTTTCAGGCATTGAGCTTGCTCTGGAGTGTTACAACCCCATTTCAAAGTACTTCACTAAGATGTTTTGTCTTGTAAGTGAAGACTCGAAGGATAGTGTTCACTTCAAGAAACTGAAATTATCTTATTAGAGAAAAAAAGTTAAACTATAATTTCTAAGAGAAAAAATAAAGCAAATAATGATAGGAAATACAGAACTAAAGTACTTCTTGAAAAGCTTACAAAGGTTGATCACAATATGGCTTTTAAGTGTAAAATAGGGCCATAAGGTTTTAGAAGAGAAAGGGTTTAAATACTAATTCAAACATAATTATCAGAATAAACCTGAGAATAACTCCCAGTTAGAAATACAGAGACACAAAATTCCACAATACAGAAAAGTATGGTAATATTTTGTTAAAAGCTGTTAACTTACTACAAACCTTTCCTTTATCATAGCTATGAGACTCTTGATAATAGCATATTAAAACATTACAAGGTATGCGACTCAGTGGATTAGTACTTCTGATCTTTTACTTTTAGAGATCAGCTTTCAATTTTTATGTCGGACCATCTTTACAGTCTCCATTGGTCCCTCAGCAAAAAAAATAAATAAACAAATAATCAGGGAAAACATATCATATAGCAAAGTGGGCATATTAATACAAACAGATTTGCTGAAATACTAAGGATCAGATCTGTGAAAAAGTAGAAAATTCTACCTCCACCGTCTTGCCAGTGGTAACGAAACCTCCTTTCCAGAGAGGAAAAGCTAAGACATTGGTCTTCCAACTGGGGCAAATAACCAATTGATTTTAGTGAATCCTAACATGGATTCCTATCTATCCTAGTCTGTCAAGTACTGGAGTTCTTCCTTCTAAGGGCAATGTGAGCTGGGGGCTTTTGACACCTCAGAGGATTATATAGGTGCCCCATAGCAACAGGGCCTCTGAAACGAATGCCAGACCTCACAAAAAAGGCATCTATACACAAACTGTCTGTTTCTACTTCAGCTTGGAAGTTCTGAATATGACAGGAAAAAAAAATGACACTATTTAATATAAAACTATATTAGCTTAAGCCACTCCAAAACCTGGAGGAAGAGGTGGCCGCATACTGTTCATTCTAGATGTTATCTGTCTATTCAAGTGTACTTAGTTGGGACTGTGATAACAGTGAAGGTTTCTCTTTGGTTCTTTTAATCTCAATTTAGACTGTTGACAGCTTGATGATAGCTTTTCCTAAAATTACTGGAAGAGACTTTGCCTTTTCAGCAAATACTACTGAGTGAGCAAAATTCAAGAGCTTCTAAAAAGGATATTGGAGTGAAGGGGCAATTTAGCTTTATTTCCAATTTTAGGAAAAGCAAGAACAAGAGGGTTTGTTTATTGGTGTTTTGCTGCTGTTTTATGTACAGTATATAATTCCCTGTCAAATATAGAACAGTTTTCATTACCTTTCTGCTAAGCATTCAGTTACAGCAGCTTTAATTCTATAGAAAATCATCTAGGGTCAGGATTGCTTTGCGCAAACACTGGCTGGTATTCTGAATCAAGTAATCCTGCACACCCGCAGAAAACAGACAATTTGTTTTCCCTACTTTTACCAATATTTGGCCCTAAGATATTTTCCAAAGAGATTTGCATAGGCTGCCTTGTTCTTAATATCTACAGGAGTATTTTGACAGTAGTAATAGCACTGACATATCAAGTATTGATGATTTTTGTATCAGAAGTCCTAGTGGACTGCTGACTGGTAGTGGCTGCAGTGGAAAGTAACTACAAATGCAAATAGCTTCAAGGAAAGCTGGACTAAATAGTTGGTATCTTTAAATTCTACAGGAATCGATCACCAAATAGCTTAATAAGAAAATTCTAGTATTAGCAAGAATACAAGAAGCTTGCAAGCATTGCAGTCATCAAATTTTTGCAGTATATCGTGATAAAAGACATATATTCAAAAAAAGTAGTAGTTCCTTCAGTAAAGTTAAGCACATAGCCAAATGTTTGTGCTAAATGTTAAAGCAATGGTATTGCTAAGGAAAGTTTTCCTTCTGTTGAATAGCAAGATATTTCTTGATATTACCCCATATTGTTTAGGTTTGATATTAGACATATTGGCTACAATGAAATACCATTAACACACATTAATAGCTCATATTTTTACGTCATGCAGCCTGTATTTGAATCTCAGCCTTCCTCTACCTTCTCTCTTTCAGTATTTATCCTTGATATGTTAGAGACCACCCTTGTATCTGTGGCATGCCACATATTCTTTAAACAGCTATGCACATCAGTAACTGTAATAGTCACTAATATACTATACCTGACAAATTATATAACATAGGAAGAACAGCAGCATAGGTTCAATGGATAAACAAAACACTTACAGAAAGATACGATGAATAAAAATGTTTCAGTAAACACACACACACACACACAAATGGAGACTTCCTCAGGCAAGGAGTTAATTCTCTTAATTCTCATAGGGCAGAAATCTTAGCTCGGTCAGCCGTTTGTCAGACATCATCCATAAGAGAACGGTACAGAGACACAGTAGCTACAAATAAACCCCCATACAAAATAGTTTGTAGAAGTGTCCAGGAGTGTTCGACAAAACAGTTAAAAAAAACTCGAAAGACAGAAATTCCAAAATGAATTACAATAATTCAGCTCATGGTGATTTCCTGGACCAAACTAGCGCATCCTTAAAATCAGACCATGTCCACAGTGGACCAAAGTTAAAAACGCTGCTCTGTAATTTCACTAACATATACATTCTTGCTTGTAGAAATAATGAAGTGAGGGAAAATTTATAGTATGCGGAAAAAGCAGGAGTTGATGGATATTTTGCTATATAAATAAAGTTCCTAATATCTCCTTATAGATATATAGGAAGACATATACTGAGATCTAGAAAGCACACATATGCAGGTTGCCAAACCTTAAAAATATGTGAACTATATGGCACTGACATTTACCCAGCCATATGCAATATACAGATACTCAGCAAAGGTTTAGGAACATGATATAACCTGGTAAGTAATATTGGAACTGATACTTCCTAAGAATAAAATAGGGGAAAAAATGAGAATATAGTATTTAATATGAAATTCAAGACAAACTGAAGTTTCTCTTATATAGCTGTCATCTTCACAATTTAAGCGTTTTAAGTGATTGGGATTTCTCCTTTGCAACATGCTGCTTTGCTAATCCTGGAGTGTCTCACATATCCAGAATTTCACAGAATGACTCGCGTCCTTTGGGGGACTGGTAAAGAAGCGAATTTCTTGGGGACAGCCTGTTATTCATTTTACAAGTCTGACCCACATTTATCAAGAACACTTGCATTTTGCGACACTGTCGTTTATTTTCATTCATCATAGTTTTAACACCTGTCAAAGTCATCTAGTAGGAACACAGAGAAGTGACCTTAGCAATTTGAAAGCTCATTGCTTCTCATTTGATGAATTTGCATTCAAAATAAAAACAGAAAATAATATTGTGACATTGCAGTGATGAACCCAAGGCATCAGATGCAAAACTCAAATATAGTAAGGAAAGAAGATTGGTTTCAAAAAATGTTAAACATAACCATGGGAAAACTATGAAGGAAATCACTGTATTGCCCCTTTAAATTACAAAAAAAGATTCCACCAAAAATGTAAAGACTAATGGAACAATCTGTAGTGTATTTCCAGTTTAAGAGATCAACTCATAATTGCTTTTAAAAAGCTTTTCCTTCTATTTAAGTAAATGATAATACTTTCTTGATAAGCTTGTTTTTTCTTAAATGCACTTTTACCGATATTTAAAAAGATATAGACTTCTTATAATTTTAAGGAATGTCTGCATAAACATCTACTTAGTCTAAGGATTCATTTTAGATCTCTAGGGCATATAGATCTTACTCAAGTGTCACATTAATTAAATTCTATATATTTTGAGAACTTGCTCATATATGTACGTACAAGTATTATAGCAATTTGTTAAATCACTCCTTTGCAGCACTGGCTGCAGTAACTCACACGTCTCAA